GCTCCAAAATCACTCCGTTGTCAAAGACTCCAGATATGAAATTCAAAGATGCTTGCTCCTTGGAAGAAAATTAATGACAAACCTAGACAGAGTATTAAAAAGCTATGGTTTTTCCAGTAGTCATGTACAGATGTAAAAGTTGGACCATAAAGAAGGCTGAGTGCCAAATAATTGACTTTTTTCAACCATGGTGCAAGGAGATCAAACCAGTCAATGCTAAAGGAAATCAACTCTGCATATTCATTGCGAAGACTGACACTTAGGCTGAAGCTCCAATGCTTTAACTACCTGATGCAAAGAGCTGACTTATTGGACAAAACCTGATGCTGGAAAAAATTGAAGGCAAACGGACAAGGGGAAGGCAGAGGATGAGATGGTTAGATAGCATCACTGACTCAATGGACATGCATTTGAGCAAACTCTGGGGTATAGTGGAGGAGCCAGTCTATAAGGTGGCAAAGAGTTGGACATGACTTAGCAACAACCCAATATCATATTTCTATAGTCTCCTAGTTTCACTCACTTATCCTAAATTGTTTAACTTAATTAAGGCCCAGCATTTTGTCAAAAAATATGGATTTTGGTGAGTTAAAAAGGACCATGAGAGAGCGTGGTTTTCATTTACAGGATCTTAGAATCTTAGGCTATTCAGTCAGGACTGTAAAGGTTTTACATTGTAAATAACAGGAAATTAAATCCTAGGGCGGGTAAAACCAAGTCTTAGATCATAAGCTTTGTTACCGATAGAGTTATGGGTCAATCTCAGGATTCAGTTAATTATATCAGGCTCTGTCTAGTAGGATTGCCAGTCAGCAGTTAAGAGCACTTACTGTAAGTCAGACATTTCTCTAGGCATTGGGCATGCGTGCCTCCATGCTCAGTCACTCAGTCGTGTCTGACTCTTTTCGACCCACCAGGTTTCTCCATCCATGGGATTCTGCAGTCAAGCATACTGGAGTGTGTTGCCATGCCCTCCTTCAGTGGATCTTCCCCACCCAGGGATGGAACCCACATTTCCTGCATCTCCTGCATTGCAGACCGATTCTTTTACCCACTGATCAGTTCAGTTACTCAGTCGTGTCTGACTCTTTGCGACCCCATGGACTGCAGCACGCCAGGCTTCCCTATCCATCACCAACTCCCAGAGCTTACTCAAACTCGTATCCATCGAGTCGGTGATGCCATCCAACCATCTCATCCTCTGTCGGCCCCTTCTTCTCATGCCTTCAATCTTTCTCAGCATCAGGGTCTTTTCCAATGAGTCAGTTCTTCGCATCAGGTGGCCAGGGTATTGGAGTTTCAGCTTCAGCATCAGTCCTTCCAATGAATATTCAGGACTAATTTCCTTTACGATGGACTATTTGGATCTCCTTGCAGTCCAAGGGACTCTCAAGAGTCTTCTCCAAATCCACAGTTCAAAAGCATCAATTCTTTGGCCCTCGGCTTTCTTTATAGTCCAACTCTCACATCCATACATGACTACTAGAAAAACGATAGCTTTGACTAGGTGGACCTTTGTTGGCAAAGTAATGTCTCTGCTTTTTAATATGCTGTCTAAATTGGTCATAGCTTTTCTTCCAAGGAGCAAGTGTCTTTTAATTTCATGGCTGCAATCACCATCTGCAGTGATTTTGGAGCCCAAGAAAATAAACACTCTCATGTTTCCATTGTTTCCCCATCTATTTGCCATGAAGTGATGGGACCAAGTGCAGGATCTTAGTTTTCTGAATGTTGAGTTTTAAGCCACCTTTTTCACTCTCCTTTTTCACTTTCATCAGAAGGTTCTTTAGTTCTTCTTCACTTTCTGCCATAAGGATGATGTCATCTGTATATCTGAGGTTATCAATATTTCTCCCAGAAATCTTGATTTCATCTTGTGCTTCATCCAACCTGGCATTTCTCATGATGTAATATGCATATAAGTTAAATAAGTAGGGTGACAATATACAGCCTTAATGTACTCCTTTTCCTATTTGGAACCAGTCTGTTGTCCCATGTCCAGTTCTAACCATTGCTTCTTGACCTGCTTACAGATTTCTCAGGAGTCAGGTGAAGCAGTCTGGTATTCCCATCTTTTTAAGAATTTTCCACAGTTTGTTGTGAACCACATAGTCAAAGACTTTGGCAAAGTCTATAAAGCAGAAGTAGATGTTTTTCTGGAACTCTCTTGCTTCTTCAATGATCCAGCAAATGCTAGCAATTTGATCTTTGGTTCTTCTGCCTTTTCTAAATCCAGCTTGAACATCTGGAAGTTCACGGTTCATGTACTTTTGAAGCCTGGCTTGGAGAATTTTGAGCATTACTTTGCAGTGTGTGAGATGAGTGTGATTGTGTGGTAGTCTGAACATTCTTTGGCATTGCCTTTCTTTGGAACTGGAATGAAAACTGAAATTTTCCAGTCCTGTGGCCACTGGTGTTTTTCAAATTTGCTGGCATATTGAATGTAGCACTTTCACAGCATCATCTTTTAAGATTTGAAATAGCTCAACTTTAATTCCATCACCTCCACTAGCTTTGCTCATAGTGATGCTTCCTAAGGCCCATTTGACTTTTCATTCCAGGATGCCTGGCTCTAGGTGAGTGACCATGCCATCGTGGTTATTTGGGTCATTAAGATCTTTTTTATATCGTTCTTCTGTGTATTCTTGCCACCTCTTCTTAATATCTTCTGCTTCGGTTAGATCCATATCGTTTCTGTCCTTTATTGTGCCCATCTTTGTATGAAATGTTCCCTTGGTATCTCTAATTTTCTTGAAGAGATCTCTAGTCTTTCCCATTCTATTGTTTTCCTCTATTTTTTTTTTTTTTTTTGCATTGATCACCAAGGAAGGTTTTCTTATCTCTCCTTGCTATTCTTTGGAACTCTGCATTCAGATTTACCCACTGACCCATCTGGAAATCCAGGTACTGTCCATACAGCTCTGGAAATAAGCCATTGAGAAAATATGCTCACACCTGTGTGTGAGAAGCGTAGATGGGAGAGAGGTGACCACCCCCTCCCCCCACCACTGCACTTTCTTTCCCCTCCCTCTGGCCTGGTTGTTCAAGGCACATTATTTTTTTTTTTTTTTGAAAACATAATTTCTATATTTCGTGTTTCATGTATTATTGTAGGCACATATTTCCTTTACTTTTAGCTGGAAGTTATATGCCCCCAAGTGACTGAGTATGAAGTACTCAACCATAGTTTCAAGTGTGATACAATTTTGAGGAAACCAAATCTCTGTTACATAATTCAACAGCCACCCCAAAGGGAAGTCAAATCACAGAATGGACCATAACACACCAAAATGTAATTAAGTACCTGAGATTTTGCTGCAAGAATCTTAAACACAAGACTGTTTTCTTTAGGGCAAAATGTGCTTATATTAACATAATCCTTTCATGCCCTGTTCTTTATTTGCTGGGGTATACTTGTTAGATGACTAAGATGTTCCAAAATGGCTAAATAATACAATTTTACTTTTAAAAAATCTACTATAGGTAGATATTTTATCACACTTGATTTAATTTATATTGCTGACCTTTCAATTATTCAGTAACTCTTAACCAAGGAAAAATTTTAAATGAAGTATCAAGTAATATTTGCAATTAAAGTTTTTCACTGTATGGAAAATTTAAGATAGTTATTATCTGTCATCTGAATAATCATATTCTAATGATTAGCATAATATATTTAACAGAAGAACCCAGACAATTTACCAAGCTCCTGGATAGCCATTTCATAGCTTAATAACTCAGTAGTCTATTTGTAGCATATCTGCATAATTCATAAAAGTGACTCATAAAATAATTTTAAATCATTTAAAAATCTGATCTGCTATCCAAAGATTCACTTTATAAATCCACATCTGAAAATAATCTATATTTCTCCTTTCTACGACATCAACTTATCTCACCCAGCAGATATCTAATATTTATCCACAATTAAGTGAAATGTGAAATAACTATTATTTGAAAATACTTAAATTCTAATAGTACTGATGTTTCTTGACTTTGCAGTGTTTCTCACTGACTGTATTTGAGGTTACTGGGATGATTATGCATTTAAATAGATAAAATAAAAATTAAATGACATCAATGTTTACAATGCATGACACAATTAATTTTTAAAAACCCCATGGTAAAAGGAAAAGCTTTACACTTCTGGATGCCAAATCAATGGCTACTGCTGACGGGGGACCTTTTTCACAGGGAGAACCCACAGGATAATGTGTCTCAGCTGTACACAGTATGGTCTAAGTCAAATGTTAATGACTGATTTGTTTTAAATCTATTTTGGAGTTCCAATGGATAAAATTTTTAAAAGTTACATTCATTAAAACTTTCATAAATTACATTCAGTAAAATTTTCTCAAAGAGAGAAACATTGCATATTTTAGATAAGATTTGGACATACTTGTGCATTATAAGCCTATTGCTGAACTTAAGTAGCTTAAATAGGACTCTGCATCTATTCTAGTTATCAAATTTTTAAAAACAGATACCTTTACTCACTAATATCACATTATTCTTGGCTTTTGTTGCACAAGTAACAAAAGAAAAGAAAGAAATGAAGAAAAAAAAGGGAAAGGAAAATAGAAAATGAAGGACGGCAACAGGAAGGAAGGAAACAAAAATGGTGCACTTACAATTTTTGTGTTGTGGGGTCGCCAAGAGTCAGACACGACTTAGCAACTGAACAACAATACCAGAAAGGAATATAAATGGGAAAAAAAGCATTTAGAGTTGTGCTTAAACATAGATTCACTTTGTTGTACAGTTCTTGCTTTATGGTATTGTAGTATTTCAAGTTGCTAGGTAAGAATCCAGTGGACAAACAATATAGTCAGCCAACAACAATTACTTCCATTTCTGGAGAAGTTAGACATCCATTACTATTTCAGTAACACCGCCACAGCTTTGAAAACACAGCAGCATGAAACAATTAAAAGGTAGACACCTTGTTTTCATTTGTTCACCTTAAAAAAACAAAAAGAAATGCTTGAACAAGAAGGCACTTAAGACAGAAATTCTTTCTCGAGTTCGTGCAGAGACGGTCGGCTCACTCTGCCTCTCATCCTGCACAGAGGCGCCGTGCGGTCCCGGCTCTGGCCTTCCACGTCGGTGTCCAGTAAGGAGGGCACGTGGGGCTGAGTCCTCTTCTTGGGGCCGAGAGGACAGCTGTGGGCTGGTCCTGGACCACCCACTGCAGGGCCAGCCTGTGAGGGCTGAGGCTCTGTGCTTGGCAGGAAGGCCTGCAGGGCACCTCCTCGGCTTCTTAGAGGGGGAGGGGGAGGCAGCGGCACCATATGGACAGCTCTTTGCTTCTCAGGTGGGACCTCACTTGGCAGGTCACTGTGAGGTCCAGACAGGGAGGGGGGCATCCCCCAAACCCACTCAGGAGGCAGTTCAGAGGCTCCGGGGGCTGAGATGAGAGCTGCACCAGCTGGGGGCCGGGGAGCGCCTCCGTCAGACATGGTCCTGCGGTGACGAGCCGCTCTCTCTCTGAAAGCAGCAGCGTGAGACGCTGCCGTCCCCCCACGTGTCAGCTCCGCGAAGGAGGGAGGCAGGTTTCCCCACCCGTCACGGCTGGTCTCCAGTCCGGGCACGGGGGTGGACTTCTGGCCCCTCCCTCCAGAGGCAGCGCAGGGGTCTGGGGTGGGCGTTCAAGGCACATTATATGTTGTCCACAAACAAGCTGATGGATCCCATGGACTTGATGTGGGAAATGGTTTGCAGCCCCCAGCTACTCAGCTGCTTCACATCTCTCCAATTGAGTCCTACTGTCTTTTCTTTCCTGTCAGCTTCTGTCCTCCATCCAATATTCTGGGCTCTATAATCAACTCAGGTGTTTAATGACACAATTATAGCTTAATTGGCCCTTGCTGCTGGTTGCTATGGTGATGCAGCCAGATATTCTGCTCACTAAATTAAAATACGAGGGAATCTGATGTGGGAAGGGGCAACATGGAAAGATCGAGGAGGCTGAAATAATACTTTAATAATTTCTCTTGATTAAAAGTCTGTTTTAAATTTCTGTTCCCTAGTCTGTCTCTGGGAAAATAGAGACTTAATTGGGGTAAAAGCCTTTTTAAAAAAATTCATTGGGGTATAGTTGCTTTACAATGTTGTGTTAGTTTCTGCTATACATCAAAGTGAATCAGTAATACATACATCCACTCTTTCCCAGATTCCTTTCCCATTTAGATCACCACAGAGCACTGAGTAGAGTTCCTTGTGCTATACAGTAGGTTCTCATTAGTTACAAATTTTATATAAGTAGTGTATATGTCAGGGGGAACAAAAGCCTTTTAATAGAGATATTTCCAAGGTAAGGACAAGGCTTCATATATTCAAGACCAATAATAATTGCAGGAAATGACTTTGGAAAAAATATCAGTAGGGATGGAAAGATCCTTATTTATAAGGGTCTTAGTTTCAGACATGTCAGTCCAGGCTTCAGTGGCACCTTCCAATGTACTTTTTACATATTTTATTTTTCTCTCTTTTTTGGATAAACTTTATTTATAGGTCAGGTTTTTATATTAGTTTCAGACATGTCAGTCCAGGCTTCAGTGGCACATTCCAATGTACTTTTTACATATTTTATTTTTCTCTCTTTTTTGGATAAACTTTATTTATAGATCAGGTTTTTAAAAACTGAAATATAGTTGATTTACAATATTAATTTCAGGTGTGAAAAAAGTGATTCAATATTTTTATAGATTATATTCCATTTAAAGTTACAACAGATAATGGCTATATTTTCATACATTGTACAATATATCCTTGTTGCTTATCTATTTTATACATAGTAGTTTGTAACTCTTAATCCTATACCCCTATCTTGCCCCTCCTCACTTCCCTCTCTTCATTGGTAACCACTTGTTTTTTTCTCTGTGTCTGTGAGTCTAAGAAATATCATACAGTATTTGTCTTTCTCTAACTTATTTCACTAAGCATAATATTCTCTATGCAGATCCACATTGTTGTAAATGGCAGAATTTCTTTTTGTAGCTCAGTAATATTCCATTGTATATATATACCATTTCTTTATCCTTTCATCTGTTTATGGACACTTAGGTTGCTTCTATATTTTGACTCTTGTAAATAATCCTGCTATGAACATTTTGGGGTGCATGTGTCTTCAAATTAGTATTTTCGTTGTCTTTGAATACATACCCAAGAGTAGAATTGTTGGATCATGTGGTAGTTCGATTTTTAATTTTTTGAGGAGCATCCATACTTTTTTCCATAGTGGCTGCGCTAATTTACATTCTCACCGAGAGTGAAAAAGGGTTCCCCTATCTTCCTGTTTTTGCCAACATTTGTTATTTGAGATCTTTTTTACATTCTGACAGATGTAAGGTGATATCTCATTTCAACTTTGATTTGCATTTCTCTGATGATTAGTGATGTTGAGCATCTTTTTTCATGTGCCTGTTGGTTATTTCAGTATCTTCTTTGGGAAAAGATCTGTTCAGGTCCTCTGCTCATTTTTTTAATCAGGTTGTTTGGGTTTTTATGTTGAGTTATATGAATTTTTGTATATTTTCATATTAACCCCTTGTCAGATGTGTTGCTTACATAGGTATTATCCCATTTAGCAGTGGACTTTTAGCTTCTTTTGATAGTTTCTTTCACTGTGCTAAAGCTATTTAGTTTGATTAGTCCCATTTACTTACTCTTGCTTTTTTTCCCTTTGCTGGAGGCGACATATCAAAAAAACATTGCTGAGATAGATGGGAAAGACCATACTGCTGTTTTTTGTTTGTTTTGTTTTTCTTCTAATTTTATAGTTTCCATTTACGTCTTTGATTTTGAGTTTGTTTTTTGTGTATGTTGTTAGAGAATGTTCTAATTTTATTCTTTCCAATGTAGCTGTGCAGTTTTCCCAGAACCACTTATTGAAGCCTGTCTTTTCTCTATCGTATATTCTTTCCCCATTTGTTGTAGATCAATTGTACCTGTAAGGATGGGTTCGTTTCTGGGCTCTCTATTCCATTCCATTTATATGTGTCTCTCTATTTTTATTTTATTCCCACATGGTATTATGATTTATTTTACTTTTTTCATCTTTCATTCCCAGAATCTTTTATCTATTTATGATATAATTAAAGGTTTCTCAGGTGGCTCAGTCATAAAGAATCTGCTTGCCAATGCGGGATAAGCAGGAGACCCGGGTTTGATCCCTAGGTCGGGAAGATTCCCTAGAGGAGGAAATAGCAACCCACTTCAGTATTTTTGTTTGGAAAAATTCTATGGAAAGAGGAGTCTGGCCAGCTGCAGTCCATGGGGTCACAAAGAGTTGGACAGGACTTAGCACCCATGCTATGGCAATCACTATGATATAATTGACATTGAACATTATGTACATTTAAGGTATACAATGTGTTGATTGAATACATTTATATATTGTAACATGATTACTACCCCAGTGTTACCTAACACCTCTATCACATAATCACTGTTTCTTTTGTTGTGGTGAGGACATTTAAGATCTATTCTCTTAGCAAGTTTGAAGTATATAACACAGTATCATTGACTACAATCACAATGCTGTGCACTACAAGCTTGTAGTTAGAATATGAATAAGTTCTGGAGAGCAAATAAGATGTTTTGATTCCACACAACTAGTAGGGAACCAGTTGAGACTTGAATACCATTCTCTGAACTTTTCAACTTTTCATCTCACTCTTTCCCTTGCCTGAGACTCTGGCCACAATGACCTACATTTCTCCTTCACCTCTCCAAACTATCTTCATGCGTTAGCACTTTTGTATTTACCCAAGTTCTGGCTGGTCTCTGGGCTTCCGGATCTTCCACTGATTGCCTTTATTTTGCCATATGACCTCTCCTAAATGTTGTCTCTTGAGGAGCATGCTATCTTAAGTACACCGTCACCCCAGCTTTCCCCATCCCTCTTACTCCTAGTTATATTTTATTCCTCATAACACTTACTACTACTGAAAAATTTGTCACCTGCTTAAATGTTTTCTCCCTGTTTTTCCCATTTAGAATATAAACTTCATGAAAATTGGACTGTTGTTAATTTTTTTACCACCATATCCCTTGCCTTGAACATATTATGATTTATTTTTACTTTTTACAAATTTTACAGTTATTACAAAATATTGGCTATATTCCCCATGTTGTACAACACATCATTGTAACCTATCTTAAAACCAATAGTTTGTACCTCCCACTCTCTACCACCTCTACATTGTCCCTCCCCACCTCCTCACTGGTAACCAGTAGTTTGTTGTCTATATCTGTGTGTCTGCTTCTTTTTTTGTTATATATTTTAGTTTGTTGTGTATTTTTGATTCCATATATAAGTGATATCACACGGTATTCATCTGTCTTAGTCTGACTTACTTCACTTAGCATAATGCCTTCCAAGTCCATCCATGTTGCAGCAAATGGTAAAATTTCATTCTGTTTTATGGCTGATTAGTATTCAATTAGTATTCAATTAGTATTCAAATACTAATTCAATAGTATTCAATTAGTATTCAATTAGTATTCAATTGTATATATCACATCTTCTTTAGCCTGTCAACTGTTGATAGACACATAGGTTATTTCCATATGTTGGCAACTGTAAGTAGTGCTGCAACATTGAGTTACATGTATCTTTTTGATTTACTGTCTTTATTTTTTTTCAGATATTTACCCAGGCATGGGATTGCTGAGTCATATGGTAATTATGTTTTTATCTTTTTGAGAAACCCCATACTATTTTCCACAGTGGCTGCACTGACTTATATTCCCACCAACACTGTAACAGAGTTCCCTTTTCTCCACATCCTTGCTAACATTTGTTACTTGTGTTCTTTTTGATGATAGCTGTTTGGTCAGGTGTGAGGTGACATCTAATTGTGGTTTAGATTTGCATTTCCCTGATGACTAGCTATTTTGAGCATCTTTTCATGTGCCTATTGGCCATCTGCATTTCCTCTTTAGAAAAATGTCTATCCAGTTCTTCTGCCCATTTTTCATTAAATTGCTTGTTTGATGTTGAATTTTATGGGTGTTTATATATGTTGGATATTAATTCCTTATTGGTCATATCATTTGCAAATATTTTCTTTCATTCAGTATGCTGTCTGTTTTGTTGATGATTTCCTTTGCTGTGGAAAATCTTGTAAGTTTAATTAGGCCCCATTTGTTTATTTTTCTTTTTATTTACTTTAGGAGATGAATCAAAAAAATGTTACTAGGATTTATGTCAAAGAGTGTTCTGCCTGTGTTTTCCTCTAGGAGTTTTATAGTATCCAATCTTATATTTAAGTTTTCAATTCATTTTGAGTTTATTTTTGTATATGGTATTAGAGAATGTTCTGATTTTATTCTTTAATATACAGCTTTCCAGTTTTCCCTGCACCACTTACTGAAGAGACTGTTTTCCTCCATTGTATATTCTTGCCTCCTTTGTTGTAGATTAATTGACCATAAGTGCATGAGTTTATTTCTG